ATTCAGACTTGTTCGAGGGAGAAACATTCTCTGGGAAGGTAAACCTATGCCAGTTAGCTGTTAAATATATGCTAATATAATGTTTGAATGTTTTTTTTTTTTCTCCATGCATTTGTTTCCTCCTTCAGGATCCGTGATAACACTGAAACATCTGAAGGATGAAGTTCTGACAGTAAAGACAGGCATGGAATGTGGCCTTTCTCTAGATAATGAAGAACTTGAATACAAACCTGGGGATGAAATTATTTGTTACAGTCAATCTGAGATCAAACAGAAAATTTCTTGGGATCCAGGATTTTAAGGGACTGCATTTGGCTCATCGGTATACTATGCTGTGTAGTTTACATGCACATGCAGTAGCTATAACAAGACTAGCTGTAGCAAACCTACAGTCACCAACAGGTAATTAAAAAAAAAAAATGTAAAATTTGATTGTCTTCATTTTGACTCTAGATATCAGGACTGAAATAAGTGTTCATAATGTATCTTGTAATGTAAATAAAAATGAGGAAGTCACATTTTCAAAAATCGTTCTTTTGAAAAGTATTGATTTTCATCCTACTTCATACATTTCATGTATTTAAACTTATCGCACAATATAGCTTTTGTAATATGTTGAACAATACATTAAATATATTTTTAAAGTCTGGATGGAAATTAAATTCCTGGGATATGGGGCAAAAACACCACACACATATAGGAAGGTAAATAATTTAAAATAGCTCAAAATCAAGATATAAGCTAACATATCTTATTTTAGTTTGTTCCCTCAACATGTCATTTTTTTAGAAGCAGGGTTCCCAAACTTGGATATATGAACATTAAGTGTAATTTCTTGGAACTGAAAACAAATTTACAAGTTAAAAAAATATATATATAGAATCTTGTCATGTGCATTTTATAATACATATTTTTTTTCTAGTTATGTCAAGCTCTAAAATATTTTATTGGGTAGAAATAGCTACTCTGAGGGGGAAAATAAGTGACAGATGACAGAAAAGTCTACATTCACTGGTAATTAAAGGTGTACACCTTGAAAAACAAATGCTAAAGCTTTAAAAATAGGAACATTTAAAAAAAATTTAAATGCATGTTATATTTAAGGTAAGAAAACAATATTCCAGTGCAAAATGAAAGACAGCCCATCTAAAATAGACTTTGTATTCTGCATGTCCTGTTCCCAAGAATCAGGTTTTTTTTTAATCATTTACCATCAGTTGTATCCAACTTCTTACTTTAGCATATTAGATTGAATGCCTAATAAAGTTAAAACCCCAAAAAGTGATATTAATCAAGACTCAAGAGATTCATTTTTGAATGTGGCAGGCCAATTTTATTTACAAAGTACAAATTCCAGAACAGACAATCTCCTGTATTACACAGAGCATGTTGTCAGGACTGTACTTCACTTGTCCTCCGGTTTGTTGAAGCAGTAAGTCAGGCAGCACTTCCCGCAGTAATGACGGTCAAAGTGGCTGGCCATGAACACCCCGGCTCCACACTCATCTGCTGGACACTCGCGGCGCAGCCGGTGGATCTTGCCGTTCTCATCAACCTGAGGATCAAGACAGACAGCATGAAATCATACTAGCAACTCCCAAAGCTGAATACAGAACACACGCAGCTGGCAAAAAAGACTTGAGTTTAGGAGATGTTGAATCTCACTGTTGAAACTGACCTTGTAATATTTCAGCACAGCGAGCTTGACCTTCTTTCTCTTGTGCTTGTTCTTCTTGGGGGTGGTGTAGGACTTCTTCTTCCTCTTCTTAGCACCACCACGCAGTCTCAGCACAAGATGCAGTGTGGACTCCTGAATGCACGACCACAATGAAGTTAGTTCAAGTGTATTACATGACAGGAAAAGCAATGAACCTAACATTTATATATGACTGCACCATTATTCACTAACCTTCTGAATGTTGTAGTCAGACAGGGTGCGTCCATCCTCCAGCTGTTTGCCAGCAAAGATCAACCTCTGCTGATCAGGAGGGATTCCTGCATTCAATACATATAGCAGTCAGCCTTTTGTCATAACGTGTGCAATGCTGTTAAGTGTGTAAAATTTAAAAAAAAAAATTATATTATATATATATATATATATATATACACACACACATGCATGCACGCACGCACTTGTCAACATTTGAAGTGGATCAAAACTAGGGATGGGCGTATCGATCCTAAGTATCGATATATATCGATACTGACGCGAGTATCGAAAGTATCGATACTCAAACTAAAAATATCGATACTAAGGTGTGTTTGAACAAATAACCTTTGTTCGCAAGTAATTGTGTAGGATAGAATTATTTTCCTGCTCATCTGAACACAAGCAAATGTTGCAAGACAGAACCAATCCATCAAAGAGAGCGTTCACTCACTTCTGACAGTGCATTCAAACAGGGCTGCGTTTCCCAAAAGTATCATAAGAAAGCATTAAAGCTTTTGGGAACGACAGCCCTGAACAATGCTTATCAGAGGACAGAAAAAAAACATATGTTTGCGTTATTTCACAATTAACAAATTGAAATCGTAGTCTACGTAGTTTGTACAATTACAGTTATTTAAACTGAACGTTGAAAGATAATATAGATCATGTTCTATTCTGTAATGTTAATAGAAATCATACACTGTCAGAATAAAAAGGTTGCATTTTATGGATGCAACAGCCGGTCACTGGCAGTCCCTTATGAAAATGAACCATGGTTTTACTAAAGTGACC